GTGAGTCAGGCTTCCTCCTACATAGTCCCAAATCCACGTGGACACTCCCAGGCTTGAGCGCACACACAGGTGTGCATGTAGGCCCTTCTGCCTCCCCGACAATGCAAGTGCAAGAACAGTGTCGCTGAGGGATGAGAAGCGATTAAGCTAATAAATAAAGCTGCCCAATCGATGGTTCCTGGAGCAGAGCACTGGGGAATGAGAAATTGCTACTCGTGTCAGGAAAATCCAGCTTCTCAAAGACTGACTAAATCTACAACCTCAACCAACAGCAACAGGTAAGAGGGGCTGAGCGGGGAAGAGAGGGGTTGGGGCCTGAGAAGGGGCTAAAGCCACCAGGTACAACTATGTGACTGCAGGCAAGTGACAAGCCCTCTCCGAGTCTTATCTGTAAAAGAGGGGGTGGGAACACCAGTCATTGCTCCAAATGCCACTGTAGGTCCATCCAGCGAATGTCACAGCACATCACAAATAGCACGACAATTCTGACCAAGTACCACATGTCTGTGGCATAAACTTAGAGGTTACGAGATGGTATAGAGGAGAAAATGAATCTCCCACTCAACCCATGTGCCCATGCCAGGGGAAACCAACTGCTGTTAGCAATTTCTTATGAGTTCTTCTGGAAAGTTCTATACCAACAATTATTCTCACTTGCTTGTATGTGCAAAGAGCAATTTGTCTGAGGTCACTGGCTTGCAAAAGGCAGTGTTCAGACTGGAAGCCCTCACATCTATCTGATTTCTCAGCCCAAGTACCCAGCTTCTGTGCTATCCTGCTTCTAGCTGTTCCAGTCTGAAGGGAAGTCTGGAAGACCAGTTCACAGACAAGCAAGGTTTCTACCACAGAGAACCCCTCCACTCCCCCTGAGACCGGGCCGCCACCAACTTGGGACTACAAGCCTCATGTGGCCAGGTTGGGGCCCCAGCTGGCCCAAGCACCATCTCCTCTTCCTTAGCCACCTGGCCACAGACCAGAATTGCTGAATCTGACCCCTTCTCCCCACTCTGTGTCCCTAGTTCATGCCCTCATTTACCACTGACTGGATGGCTACAACAGACCGCATTTCCTACAGTCCACTAACCTCAGCTTGACCTTTTCTAATGTAAAACTTGAACAAGCCACTGCTTTGCTTAGAACCTTTCCAGAGCTCCCCATGGCACTGCAGATAAACCCAGTCTTCCTCCCACCTAACGCAGCCCCTGTTTACCTGTCCAGTCTCCTCTTCCATCTCCCTCCCTCCTGCCACCCATTCATCCACCACATGTCCTTATCTGGTTCCTCCAGCACACAAGTCTATAGGCCTTAATCCTTGTTGCCCCTCCTACCTGGTGCTCTCTTCCCATTTCTGATTTCTTTTTACTCAAGACAGACTTTCCTTGATCACCATTGAAATGCAACGTTCTTGTTATTTTTCCTCAGCGTTTTCTCACAAGGTTTTGCATGTTTCATAATTACATGCCTTGTTTTTCCTTCACTGCCTGCCTCCTCCTCCCCTAGACCAGAATGTATACTCTTTGCAGGCAGGAATCCTGTCTTAATAACAGCTTTATCCCTGATGCCCAGTGCAGTACCCGGCACACAGTGTGGGCTAAACTGTTCAGTGAATGAATAAAATGACCAGAAGCAACACCCTTCACAATGAACCTTCCATGCATTCAATCTGCTTCCTGGCCCACTTTCATACTATTGTTTTGAAAATCTCATAGAGGGTAGGGCTGAAAATCTCAGCCACCCCCAGTGGTAAAACACCTCTGCCACTACCCCCCCGGCCCCCAGTTATTGCCAGGACTCCTTTTGTCCTCCTATCTTCCGTGCTGTTACATTAAGCAAAATTTCTCCATTGGCAAATAAATGCTTTTCCCATCAATAACCACGGATGACTAAATCAAACCTTTAGCTGCTGTTCTTATCTCTTAAACAGATCCATGGATTTCCCAACTAATCAGAAGGTGAATCAAAGGCTGCCATTTGAGGTGGGAGATAATCCGGTCAATTCTTCCAGGAGGAGGGACCTGGGTGGGAATTTGCGTATGGCCCCCAAAAAAACAAACACTCTTGTAAATAAAGCCGGCCTCCATCCTGTCTCCACAATGCAACTCTTATTGAGTGAGTCAGGTGTTTGGCTGATTAAAAATTGATCCATTTCAAAATCTAATCAACAGAATAGGATTCTTTCATACGTTATCAAGAGAGCTGCTGACATCGAAAACCAAACCTGTTATTAACCCATGAACTCCAGTGACCTGCTGCTTGCCGCTCTGCAGGACCGTAAATTATTCAGTGGTCCAAGACCAGGGCTGGAGAGCCTGATGGATTTAGACGAGGGCGCAGTCCAGTGGGTTCAGGTCGATGGCGTGGCCCCGCCGGTCCCCAGGGGCTGGGTTCCAGACACTCGGGTTTTTCGTATCATGACTGCGAATACATTAGCCCTGCCACCTGGGCTTTGCCATGGCTGTGCCTTTGACGGAAAGGCCTGTCTCAACTTCTCAAGCAGGGCAGGCAGGCTAGCCCAGGCCTCAGGGAGCTGCAGGCCGGGGGAATGATAGTATCCCTAATTCCCAAGTTAATAAATTATTTTCTTTGAACTACAGAAAAGGAAAAAATAAACAAAGACAATGGGGGCCTGGCTACATTTTGCAAACAGTTAGGAACAGGCAATACAGTCAGTTCAAATATTTTACCTCCTCGTGCAAGGAAGAGCTCTGTTGCAATGGGACTGTTTAAAGGAGGAGATGAAAAAAGCCAGCCATTGGATGTTTATATGTCTAGCAGGACCCACAGGGGCCATGGACTCTCTCACCAACTTCTGGACTCTTTGACCTTGAATTAAAGCTTCATTAAGAGCCATATCTTATAAAAACAAGAGCAGAGCAAATAAAGAATTTTTTAAAAGGACACATACCCACGCCAAAGTTTCCATATTGCTAAGCAAGCAGGAAATCCAGCGGCAGCAAAGGCTGTACTTGGCGTTATTTGGGGGCCCGTGTTCCACAGCTGACCTGATTAGAAAGGATTTACAAAGGAAAATGTAAGAGTCCCAGGCAGGGCTGGAAGAAGACAGCAAACTGGGAGAAGACATCTGGACCGTCTGACAAAGGGGACTGAAGCAAGTCACTCCCATGTTCGGAACAAGCAGACCCCCGCAGAGTGTAGATACCATCATGGGCTCCTCGAAGCAGCTGCTGGGAGAACCAGCAAGGCTCTATGGGCCACGCAGGCAAGTAAGGTTCCAATCTCAGCTCTGTATTTCCTGGCTATGTGAGTTTGAGAAAATGACTCAATTTCTCACCCGCCAAATGGGAATAACAAAACAGCCATGTATTTTAAATCCAGCTATGTATTTTAAGGTAACCTTTATAAGAAAGTGAAAGTTGCTCAGTCATGTTGGACTCTTAGCGACTCCATGGACCCCATGGACCATTGAATTCTCCAGGCCAGAATACTGGAGCGGGCAGCCTTCCCCTTCTTCAGGGGATCTTCCCAACCCAGGGATCAAACCAGGGTCTCCTGCATTGCAGGTGAATTCTTTACCAACTGACCTATCAAGGAAGCCCTTTATAATGAAGGCACATGGGAATTACTCAAATGCTCAGCAAATGGAATCTGTTGTTTTTGTTGTTAATATTATTGCTATTATTACCACCGAGTGTTAGTAGTGAATTCAGCATGCTCCTCAACTGCACTATCCCAACCCAAATGCTGGACCTTCATATAACTAGCAAATGTGACCTTCCTCGCCAGCACATCAGGCTTAGTGGGAAGCCCAGAAAGTGCCTATAAAATATGTTTAAGCTTGAGAAGGCCCAGGTCCTGGGTTATACTTCAAGCCCTGCCCCTTGCTGGCTTTGGGAAAGTGAATTCATCTCTCTAAACTTCAGCTTTCAAAACTTCAAAAAGATGAGATGACAGTAAGATGACAGATCTCATGGAATTCACTTATTAGTGCAGTTCCTGCCAACAGTAAGCCTCAATTAACGCTGGTTATCAGCATCATCATTATTCAGACTCAGTTTCCCACTTAATCAAGGAAGTTACTTTGTTCATTGACCAGTGAGAACTGAACCTGGCAGGGGCCTCTTGCTGAGTTGTCCTGAACGAGCCACTCTACCTCTCTGATTCCTGGGTTCCTCACTAGTAAGGGTAAAAAAATGACAATATAAATTCCAAAAGACAAGGCCCCCATCTGGTTTCATAACAATACTATTCCCTCAGCAACAATAATGAGAACAATGCCCAGGCTACAACAAGCACTTAATGAAAGGAAGAAAAATGGAGCCCTAGTTAAACATATTTGCTTGATGAGTTCTTTTCCAGAAAACATGTGTCCAGCACAAGCTGTCAGCACCAAATGGACCTACAAGGAAGGTGAACATCTCCCTCTCCAGAACCAAACCCAAACTCTGAAGAGCCCCTTGTTGCTAGGGTAAGCCCCCAGCCCACCCCCGCCTAAGCAGCCTGGACACTTTGGCTCTGTTCCAGAGAACATCCAGGAGGCCAGAGAGAGGCTGTCTCCCCAGCCAACAAACTCTTACAGACCACCAGGAATCCTCTCTTAAATAATAATATATTTATAAATCTGAGACCCCTTCTGACCTCTTCTCAAAGCAAAAGCATCCTCTGAAGGCCCTAGGACGTGATCATATTGATCTTGTCTGAGCTGTAATTTCGTGGCTTTGAGTTGAACAGACAGGGTCGGCCTGCCCAGATGGCTGCAGCCTGGCGGCTATCGAGTGCCCAGCAGCAGCTGGGATGAAAGAGAAATCAGAGCTGTCCTCCAAAGTTGGGGAGAGCAGCTGCTGCATGCCAGGCTGAGGGCAGGGTCAGGAGCTGGTGGCGGACACCTCCTCCTGCCCTCAGACCTGGCCTGGCATCCTCTGAAGGCCCGTGGGGAACGGAATGAATGGTCCATGAGTCCCTGAGGCTCTGGTCTGGCAGGGTCATGGCGAGGGGTGCAGTTCTGAATCCAGGTCCTGCCCCTTGGCCAGGTCGGACCTTACCTGGACAGATGGTGGAGGCTCAGGAGGCCTCAGGCCTGAGCCCAAGGGGCACCGGTGCCCCCAACAGCGACAGTCAGAATCTAGCAGACACTTGGAGCTGAGACAGGTTTTCAGGCCAGCCAGGCCCGCCCTGCTGCTGGGGCTGCCGTCTACTGTTTACCTGCTGCCTGTTTTTCTCATGACAGGGCTTCCAAGAAGTGCAGACAGAAATCAATGGAGCTGGTCCTGGTGCCCAATCCCCCCACCTTTCTCTCCCGCTGCCAAAGTTCAGCTCCGCTTCCTGTAAAGCTGGGGCGGGCTCTGAGCTGGGCTGAGGGGCAGCCAGAAGTGGAGACGCCCCCTCAACCCCCTGCCCAGGCTGGAGGCCTCGGGCACAAGTGTCCCGGGAAAGGTCAGTCAAGGCCAAACCTTTATTTTCCCCTGCAGGAGACAGCTGACCAGGCAGGGAGCAGCAAGGAAGCGTTTTCTCTGCCCCACCTTTCTTCCACACAGCACATCGTAAACATTGCTAGGCAGAAGTTTACTCTAAAGTCTAGACTCACCTGGGGCCTTGGTTAAAAATTCAGACTCAACCCAGCCTTGGGGACTGGGTTTCAGGAGATGTAGGGTGGGACCAGGATTCTGCACTTTAACAAGCCCCAAGGTGATTCAGTTGAGAAGCCAAGTTTGGGAAACCATATCTGTGTGCAAAGATGCAGCTTCCAGAATGCTAATCACTGGGATGCTCAAAAGAGAAAAGACCCAAAATTAAAGAGGACAGCTAGATGAAATACAGGACACCGGATCAATTTGAATTCAGACAAACAACAATTTTTTTAAAGTATAAAAACATCAAATATTGTACAGGATATACTTTAAAAAATATTTATTTATGTATGGTTGTGCCAGGTCTTTGCTGGGGCACACAGGATCTTCACGGTGGCGTGCAGGCTCCAAAGCACGTGGGCTCTGTAGTTTGCAGCACGTGGGTTTAGTTGCCCCACAGCGTGTGGGATCTTAGTTCCTCAACCAGGGTTCAAACCCAAACCTCCTGTACTGGAAGGCAGATTCTTAACCACCAGACCACCAGGAAAGTCCCCGCACAGGGCATACCCTGGACCGTGTGTTCGTGCTCAATCATGTTCAACTCTTTGCGACCTCATGGACTGTAGCCCGCCAGGTTCCTCTGTCCATGGAATTTTTCAGGCAAGAATACTGGAGTGGGTTGCCATTTCCTCCTCCAGGGGACCTTCCCGACCCAGGGATTGAATCCATATCTCCTGCATTGGCAGGCAGATTTTTTAGCACTGTGTCGCCTGGGAAGCCCTGCACAGGATATACTTAGATTAAAAATTAATTGTTTATCTGAAATTCAAATGCAACTAAGTATTACCATTTTTTAGTTTTTGCAAAATCTGGCAACCCAAACTGAAAACCATTTACCATTTCACACCAAAGAACTGACATAAACCATAGCTCATCCACACAAGGGAATATTTATAGCCACTAAATGGATAGCAGTCATCAACACAGCACTTGGCAAGTGCCAGGCCCTCTTCCACCTGCCTCACATTAATGAATTAGTGTAATCTTCCAACAATGGAGGCCAGTATTATTGTTCCTGTTTGACAAAAGAGGAAACTGAGGCACAAAGAAGTGAAGTCACTCAGTCAAAGCCACATGGTTAGAGAGAGGCAGAGCCAGGGATTGAACAAAAGTTAGACTCCAGAGGTAAGTACAGATTTAATCATCTTACTGTTCTCTAATGGAAAAATAAATAATAAAAGATACAAAAGACTTAACTCATGCAACCTATTATAAGGTGGAATAATACTTACACCTGATTTCATTACATAAAATTTATATATTAATTATAATACAGGTATTAGAAATGGTTAGGTCACATACAGTTGGCAGAAGTATAAACTGAAACAACCACTTTGGGAAAATTGCTGGCATATACTATACTGAAGCTATGCAAATAATTCCCTGTAACCCAGCAATCCATTCCTTGGTATAAACTATGGGTCTCCACCAGAGGCGATTCTGCCCACCCCCGAGGGGACACTGGGCACCCTTTTGATTGTCACAACTGACATCTAGTGGGCAGAGGCCAGGGATGATACTCAGCATCCTCCAATGCCCAGGACAGCCCCCACCACAAAGAATCATCCAGACCCACATGTCAGCTGTGTCAAGATCTAGAAACTTTGATTTATACTCAAGAAAAACACATGCACCAGTTCAACCAGGAGACATTCAGGCACCAAAGTTCCTAGAAATGCTGTTAGTAGGAGCCCCAAATTGGAAGCCACCCAAATGCCCATCAACAGGAGAATGGATGAATAAATTGTGGTCTCCTCACACAATAGAATGCTAGATGAGAATGAGAATGAATGAACTGCAGCTACACACAACAATGTGGATGAATCTCAAGAACATAATGTTAGTGAAAGAAGCCATACAGAAAAGAGCACATGCTGGGTGATTCCTTTCACATGAAGTTCACAAACAGGGAAAACTAACACGTGCTGTTAGGAGTCAGGATGGGTCACTCTGGGGCATGGCTGGCAGTGGCTAGATGGGGCTTCTGGGGCAGGGGGCAGGGAAGTTCTATTTCTTAATCTGAGTGATGGTTCCATGTTTGTGACAAGTCATTGAGCTGAACATGTATGACCCATGTCCTTTTCTGTATGTTTGTTATAAAAAAAAATCTAAAGAAATCATGATACAGGTTTATCTCAGAAACAGGTGATTTTCATTTTCTTCTTTTTGCTTATGTGTTCTTCCTACAATTTCCACACTGAACATACTTTATTTTTTTCTTAAATAAATGAGTAGGTCAACAGCATATGCTGTTTACTCATCAGAAATTTGCTGACCCCTGCCATGTGCCATCCCCAGAATGGGGCCCTTGGGGTGTCTGTGGGGGGACATGGGAGGGGGCATCTGTGCCCTCAAGGAGGTCACAGTCTTGGTGAGGGCAGGGAGCAGATGGAATAACCCAGGTCTGGGCCACAGTCAGCCAGCAGTCAGGTATTTCATCTGTCCAGCCCAGCGTTTTAAACAATTTGAAACCCCTGCTGCAGGGCCAGATAGCCCCAGCTGTCTGGCACTCCTGCTCCCTTACAAAACTTCCTCCTGCTTAGCCGGGGCTGAACCCATCACTGGTGTCACCTGCCTGCCCCCATGCTCATGGAAGTTTGCCATTCCCCGAATTAGATATTGCAATCAGCACTGTACTATGACAGAACGATGGACAGAGGAAACAAAAATGTATAGCGGTAAAGAGGCTGGGGGAAGGGTGTCAGGGGACTTGCTCTTGACAGGAACATAGACACAGTAAGAACAAAATTTGCTGTTGTTCAGTCGCTACGTTGTGTCTCTTTGTGACCCCATGGACTGCAGCATGCCAGGCTTCTCTGTCCTCCACCATCTCCTGGAGCTTGCTCAAACTCAAGTCCACTGAGTCAGTGATGCTATCTAACCATCTCATCTTCTGCCACCCCCTTCTCCTTTTGCCTTCAATCTTTCCCAGCATCAGGGTCTTTTCCAATGAATTGACTCTTCACAACAGGTGGCCAAAGTATTGGAGCTTCAGCATCAGTCCTTCCAATGAATATTCAGGGTTGATCTCCTTTAGGATTGATTGGTTTGATCTCCTTGCAGTCCAGGGGACTCTCATGAGTCTTCTCCAGCACCACAACTCGAAAGCATCAATTCTTCGGCACTCAGCCTTCTTTGTGATCCAACTCTCACATCCGTACATGACTACCGGAAAAACCATCACTACATAAATAAATCAGGTTTTATTTTGACCAACTTTGGGGTAGAGGGACTATCAACCAGAAAGTCTTAAAGAGCGATGATGGGCCATCAGGGTCAGCCAGGGTGAATGTGGAGAGGTGTGCAGCAGCTAAACTTCACTGAACACCTGCCATGTGCCAGGCGGCACACAAGGCCGCGCTTTACCTGTACTGGCTTCACTAAACCCAGTGGCCCCGATGGACAGACGGGAAAACTGGGAGGCTCAGAGAATTGACGAGGTTGGCTCAGTGAGGATGGCAGAGCTGAGATACAAACTCAGACCAGGCCTGACTCTAGAGTTAATTCTTTTTTGGGGGGGGGGGGCGGCAGGGGTGAAGTAGAAAAGGATAGCTTTACTACTCTGCCAGGCAAAGGGGGGCATAGCAGGCTCCTGCCTCAAAAAACTGTATGTCCCCACCAGAGCTACATTCTTAAACATGAGATTTCCCCCCAATCTCCCACAGGAGAGCCACGATGCCATGTCAGCACCCCCTCTCCTCTCCTCTCAGGGGTCTGCCTGGAGCTACCAGACTCCTGAGGAGGCACACGAGTCAGGAAAGAAGGGAACGGAGTTGAGCCAGGAAAGGCAGAGCAGGTGAGCTACAATGCACTGCTGCAGGGCCCTGCTGGGAACGCAGTTGAAAATACCAGCTGCTCCAACCAGCATCGCCTTTAATCTCTTCAGAAAATGGATGCTGCTCCTGGGTCCCCAGAGAGCCCCAAGTTTGGGCTGAAGGCTTTCTGGAAAAAAGCTGTTGCCGGCGTCTCCACAGTCACCCCGGGTGACGTCTGACACTCCACCGCGCACTGGCTGACAAGCGTCTTCAAAGGACAGAAATCGGCAGCTTTGCCATCTTTTCATACAGATGTCATTCACCCACAGGAAGCGCTCTCCCCATGCATTGTGAGAGTTATTTTGGTTTAAGGAAGCCAACCCAAGAGCAAATCCAAGAAAGAAATCAAAGGAAGGGGGGGAAAAAGAGCAACTCTGGCAAAAATGAGAAAAAGTGGCATTTGGGTAAACTGCACACAAAACAATCTTTTTCAAGATGATCTTTTTTGAGATCAAGGATGAGGGGGGAGAATTGTGCTGAATGTCAGCAGGTGTGGTGGGCTCAGGAAGCTGTATGCGACTTTGTGGGAGTCTGTGGGCCATGTTTAAAGAGTAGGCAAAATCCATTCTCAATGAGCCAGACTTGCTGAGCTTACATGTGACTAGCGAGGAGGGCAGGTGACTCGTGCCTGCTAGGGGGTCCCAAGGGCTTCTCTGAAGAGAATCTGCAACCCGGAGGGAAGGAACAGCCCACATCTCCTGACGCTCCACATGGGAGCTTATTTCTCTGGGTAGTTTACTGACACAACA